GCGTGCACTAAATCATCAGATTGTTTTTCACCTATTAACGTCTCTGACTGGAAGAGGTGGCACTCGCGGGGATCGTTTTATGCAAAAGCAGAGTCATATAATACGTGAAAACGCCCCGTTTTGTGTTTGAGCGTGTTCGGAGCCTGAATCAGAAAACCTTTCTTAACAGAAAGTTGATAACCACCATTGTGATACCCATTATCTCCAACTGGGGTTTAATGTTTTGTCATGCCAGCTAATATAAAGAAAGCCTGGCTATCTTGAACTTCCTTTGTAGTATACCCCTGAGTTCTGTTCCCTAAAAAAAGTACCTACAGCTGCATCAAATGCAGTCACGTCTAAAGGATATATACTATACTACCACCACACTAAACCGCTGTAACACTCATGTCACAGACAAGACAGATTTCTAAAAATACAAATGTTTGCAAACTTTGTTCAAACCTGACATGCTCCATGGCATTGTTTCCTAATGCTTGCCTACTGGTTTCAAAATCTTTGTAGGAATCATAGCTGGCAGGAGCAATTGGAGTAGCACTGCAAGGATAATGATGATTGAAAACTCCAGCATCCTACCCCACACCTGAGTTTGTGAAACCGCGTTGGTTCCCTGTTGCTTTGTATTCTCCAGGTTTTCGTTCAATATTAGATAGCTTGCAACCAGAGTTCTCAGTTGTTGGTAGATAGGACAACAGCCATATGTAATATTTTGCTATTTCATGCACAGTGTCTCCGTTCTGGTCTCCCATCAATTTGTAATTTATTGGTACACCATTTAAATTTATTTAATTTCTGAATTTAATGGTGGTGTGAGAAAGCTGATGCTTTTAGTATAAATAAACAAAAAAAAAAGTCTTTTTTTGTTTTTTTAAAGACAATGATTGGCAGGTGGGACGGGGCAGACTGCAGACTCACTCTGTTTTAGCCTTAAAAATATTTTATTTCACAAAGCTGACCTTAACTCTGCACTGGAGCCCTATTAAGCAGCATGAGAATCAAACTGTGTAATAACCAATACATGTTTTTAATATTGCTACATAAGCAAAGAGGAGAAGAAAGTTGAACTGAAGTATCCTATCTAGTCTGTCACACTCATATATTTGTGCTGTTACATTTTGGGTGATGTATTTGCTTTATTTTGGGGCTATGTGTTACCTTAGCACTGATTGATTAAAGACTCTCTCGTCTGCATGTCACCCTTACCATAAATTCTTTTAGTGCTGTACATTAAAGAGATCAATAAAATGTAATTACTGGACATATTCAAGCTGTTTAAAGTAACACAAAAATGCATAAAATGCCAGAAAAATCAAGTGTCCTTGTGTCAGTGTGGTAAACATCAAATTATCTCACATTGTCTCATCTTAATATTATTGTTATGTTTTTGAAGAAAGGTTATTTCCTTGCATATTTATTCAGTAACTCTACTAGGTTGTTATATTGCATTGTTTCAATGAACCAAAAACCAGTGACTTTTAAATTATGTTGAAGGCTATGAATTTTACAGTGTGTTGAGCACATTGTAGACATCTCTGTGTCGTCCAATTCCTGTTTGTATTGTTAAGAATCTGAGTGCAATAAACATTTATGAAACGAGCAGATAAAATGTCTGCAGTAGTGTCTTTTTGTGTATTTTAGTTGAATGTGAGTGTGCATAATTTTTCAGTTTCTCTCTGGCTATTATTAAAAGACATGATTTTAACCTTTTTTGTCAATGTAACTGATGAGCTGATTACTGCATTTACATATACTTAGATGCAGGTAATGGTGGTTGATGAGGACAAAAGTAGTAACACTGACAATTAAGCCATAATACAGGCAATCAACCCTATCAGTGTTTTAAGCTGTCAGAATAATGTGGCAGGATAAAGGGCACTTTATTTCTTACCTAAAATGTTGTACAAGTAAAATCTAGTTAACACTCTACACACAGCTGGAAGTTATGAAACACAAACTTAGTTGGTGCTTCAAGTGCATTGCTGAAGAACATCACATTTTATGGTCTTTATTAAGCATAAATAAAGTCCATAAAGTAAAATGGACATGCTTTTTTGAAAAGTCTCTCATACTTTTGTGACACATATATTTAGATTTGGGTTAACACGTTTTTGGACAATAACACAATTTTCATTTTGCCACTGTATACCAGCACGGGTAATTTTATTCAACATGTGATTGAAATGCAGCTGTAATTTTAGGGGTTTAACAGAAGTACTGCATTAACCATTTTACATAATTATTTATACTTAGTCCCCCACTTTCAGAGGCTGAAAAGTAACTGTTTCTCCATTATTCTTTCATTGAAAATGAAGGAGGTGATCATTAGCCCGAAATCAGAGAAAAACTTTAGGAGTGGCCAGGTCAGTCTGGTGCATTTATAAAAGAAGGATTGCACTGGTCAGCTCAGCAACACAAGGGCCTGAAAGACCTTTTGGTGACGTGAAATCAGCTGAAATCGATGATCATAATTACTTTCCTTGGTTGAGAAAAAAAAACCCTTCACAAAATCTAATCATGTCACAAACACCCTTGAGAAGTAAAGGTAGCATTATCAAAGTCTACAATCAAGAAACACCTTTATAAATGGCAATACAGAGAATGTATAAAAACATACAAATCATTGGTTATATTCATGAACAGGAAGGCCCAAAAAGGCGCTTCTCAGTTCTGATGAAACAGAATAATGAAACCAAGATTATCTTGTAACAGAACAATAGGACAGAAAAGCATGGAGAGCGAGAGAAACATCTCATGATCTGATGACCATAAAATATCTGTCAAACGTGGTGGAGGCAGAGCTGTAGAATAGGCCTGTATGGCTGCCAGTGGAACAGGGTCATTCCACTGGCAGCCATATTGATGATATGACTCCTGATGGAAGTAGCAGGATGAACTGTTAAGTGTACAGAGCTACAGTGGGGGAAGTAATTATTGATCCCGTGTTGAATTTGTAAGTTTGCTCTCTTATAAAAAAGTGAAAAGTCTCGATCGAATGTTTTATGCTAATTTCATTTTAATGGAGAGAGATTAACCAACAATCTGGAAAATATAACTTACATAAAAGTTAGAAATTTATCTGTGTCACTGAGCATTTGATCTTCAAGAAAAACATTACTTAGTGCTTGTTGGAGAAATCCTTGTTGACCAGCACAGCAGTAAGACATTTCTTGTAGTTGGTCATGAGGTTTTCACACATCTTAGGAGGGAATTTTCATTGTTCTTTACAGAAACTCTCTAAATCAGGGGTGTTAAATATGAGGCCCAAAATCGGCCCAGAAAAGATTTGCTGCCAAGTGGGCTGCCCCACGAAGAAAATGTAAACGAGTGCATTTATTTTTTCCTATTGATAGACCCCCACTCCCCAATGCCATCCATTATACACCAAAGTACAAAGACATTTTCTGTGAATTAATGAAAACGTTATATTCTACATTTATAATTAAAGGACAGTGAGCAATTACCTGCCAGAACCTTTTTTCTGTAATTTTACACATTGATCATATCACTGGCCCACTTCTCATCAGCTGTATGCAGCCTATGATGTTTGACATCGAGTTTGACGTGTCTGCTCTAAATCCTTGAGGTTTCGTGGCTTAGTAAGTTGAAGTTCCCTCCACAGACTTTCCACAGGACTAAATTCTGGCCACTGGCTAGCCCACTCTATGAAGTTATGTGCTTCTTCTTTAGCCACTCTTTTGTTGCCTTAGTGGTTTGTTTTGGGTTGGAAGCCCGATCCACGACCCGTTTTCAGTGTTCTGGTAGAAGTAAAGATGTTCTCATCCAAGACTGTGTTCTTTGGGCCTTTTGTCTTCCTCCAAACAAGCTGAGTCAAGCTGATGCCAAAGAGCTTGATTTTGGTTTCATCTGTCCACACCGCTGGTGAACTTAAGATGGACCTGTACTTGTGCCTTCTTAAGTATGGGATCTTGCAAGTGGTGCAAGATTTTAGTCCATTGAGGCATAGTATGTTACCAGTCGTGTTCTTGTGAAATGATCTGATCTGTTGATATTCTGTCTCCATTAAAATGAAACTAACATAAAAACAAGAGACTGTTCATTTCTTTGTAAGTGAGCAAACTTAAAAATTCAGCAGGGGGCCACTGATACTCTCTGTTATATTGATACTCCCTCCTAAATACTCTCTGTCCTGATTAAGACAAATGCTGGAAGCTGATCGGACAGCGGTTCATGACCAGTTAATAACCCAAATAATACTGCAAAAACAACCCAAGAGATTTTCAAGGCAAGAAATATTGGGATATAAAATGTATAAAAATGGCTCTAATTCCTGAACAGTTAATGCAATACTTTTATTAAACCCATTTGAATTAAAGCTGCAAGCCTCCACTTCAATCACATCTTGGCTGTTTGATTTAAAATCCACTGTAATAGTGTACAGAGGAAAAATTATTTCACTGTCCAAATGCTTATGGACTTTTCTACTATAAACTTTGCTAGAATTGAAAAAAAAAAACTATCTTGTTATATTGCTCTTTGTAAGGGGGAGGGGGGGATGTTCAGCAGTCGACCTCTCTGACCCAGAATTCTGTCTTCTTTTTATTTTTAGTGCCAATAAACCTCACTGATCACCCAAACTAAATATCACTATTTGGGATCACTAAAAAGGTTAACAAGAACACAGTTAAAAAAGCAACAGCACTGCAAATGCCAGATGATGGATGCTTTTAAATTAACACGGTTATCTTGAATTCAAGTAATTTAACCTAAGGCTGAATTAATTAAGGATGGGCTCTTTATACACAAGTTAAGTTTCTATATTCAGATAAAGTCTAGACTCATGTTTCTGTTAACACTAGGGCTTGGTTTAACTCTGTTCACACCACAGGTTCACCCTTTATTAAAACATGGTGTCCTTTTTGTAACTATAAGTTATCTAAATTGTCCCTGTGTTGTATATGAGGCAGGCATTTTCATATATTACTCCAGAATTCAGCAATCAGATATTTTGGGCTTTAATTGCTAACTGTTAGCATACTCACCTTTCTGGTACTGCAGCCAGAGCTGCTGCTGGGCCTTCTTGCTGGGGAAGTAAATGCTGCAGCTGAGCTCAGAGCCATACAGGGCTTCAGACACATAATGGCTGCCATATTGCTGAAGAAAAGCCAGCAGCTCGTCACGTGTGCTCTCTGTTGACAGTGTCTTCAGCACCTTAGAAAAGCCTAAAAAGCCAAGGACGAGATGAGTGAATTCTTGTCCAAATAGGTGAAAAGGATAGACTGGCCAGTCACAATATTAAAACTACCTGCCTAACATTGTATAGGTCCTTTTTGCGCAACCAAAGGAAGTCTGACCTGTCAAAGCATTAACTCCAAAAGGCCTTTAAAGGGGCTCTGAGGTACGACACACAAAGCAGATCCTTTAAGCCCTGTAAGCTGTGAGGTGCAAGGTTGGTTTTTTTTCAGCACAAACCACATATGCTTTTAAAGCTCATGACATTGTTACCTATTATAGGAACTACACAGTTGCAGAGAAGGGGCTGCGTGGATTGCAACAACGCCTGGTGAGTGCTGCATGTCAAAGTAACATCCACATAATTGCCAGACCCAAGGCTTTTCAGCAGAACACTGGCCAGAGCATCATTCTACCTGCCTCAGCTTGCTTTCCTGCTGTAGTGCATCTTGCTGCCATCTGTTCCCCACGCAAACAACGTGGGCACACACACACACACACACACACACACACACACACTCCTCTGTCTACATGGACACCCCAGGCTACTTTCTTTCACTGCTCCATTGTTCAGTTCTAACACTCACATGTCCATTGTAGACACTTCAGCTGTAGACATTCTGAGCAGCCCGTGAGTATGCAGCCACACAAGCAGCAACCTTCACTGCAATGTGTTTTATGACACTTTTCTGTCATAGCCAGCATTAAGGTTTGCAGCAATTTGCGGAATCAGACCACACAGGATAGCCTTCACTCATCTCACATATTAATGAACCTTAGGCTGGTTCACTGGTTGTCCTTCCTTTAAACAATGCACTTGGGAAACACATGAGCCATGTTGTACATCCTCTGATCTGATGGTCTAGCTATCACAATTTAGTCCATGTCAACTTGCTCTGATTCTTACAATTGGCCATTTCTTTCCAAAAAATCTATGTTAAAACATTTTTTCTACTTGATGGCTAATATATCCCACCATTTGACAGGTTCTATTAAAAATATAAAATATAATAAATATAAATATTTATTACCAAATAACAACCCCAAAAGATACCTCAACTAATAGCTAGGTGATAGCATTGAAAACATGCTCTTATTCATCAGTTTCTTATATTCTGATGGCGAGTGATCAGAGTTTTATTATTCAGACACTGACCTGTAGCTAGGGTAATAGAGCTGAGTTTGACTTTGTACAGATTGCTGCGCACTCTCCACTGCTGAACCATAGGGTACCCAACAGCCTCGCTGAACTGGGCATCCCCTAAGGAAAAAAAAATGTGAACAAACCATTGAATTTAAGACAAAAAGATATCAAAAAGTTTACAGCTACAACAAATTTAAAACTAATTATAATTTTCAGAATTATGAAGACATACTGAAATTCAAAACAAATGAACAAATTAAATCTATCATTTCATTTGTACAGTTTATTGCACAACCATTGTTATCCATTACTGTCTTAACACCATTTATTATCCCAGCCCATATCCCAGCTGCTCCTGGATCAATGGTGATATATAGAGCAGCTTGAACTCCAATTGGATTGCTGACATTAGAAGTGGGAGCAATCTTGCCTTTCCCTGCAATTCAATTACCAAACTTTCACTTCAGTCTAGAACTAAATAGCCTCAAAAGTGAAGAGCAAGGGGGGAAAACAATAAACTGCTTACGGGAACCTTGATCCTGTGCCTTTGAAAGGCGTTTTACACCTGAGACATTCATGCACAGTGAAAAAGGGTAATTTTAGTTTGTGTGCATCTGTCCAATTGTTGTGAAAGCAGAACCCTCAGTGAAATATCTCAGGGGTCACTTTGGACCAAGTGCCAATTTAGCTAATGGAAGGATTAGGGAGCAGAGGTGTAGGTGCAGGTTCAAGACCAACATTTAAGTGAATCAGTCCCCCACAGAATAGGGTTGAAAATTAAATAAATACATAAATAAACAATATACACATTTTATAAACCCATATATTTAAATAGTGTTTATATATAGTTAGTGTGTTTTGGGGCATCTATATGTGTAATTTGCTCTGCATGTGCTCACATTTTAAGATATATAGGGGTATTGGCCTAGGGGTATAAAAGAGGATTTTGTGATCAAACCACACCTTCTTATATAATATTAGATGATCTTGTGCCCTGGATTTCACAAAACAGACGCAAATACAAAAGAATAATCTACATACTGAGATTTGTGGATTTGAATATTTCAATATAAATCTCTTGTATCTTCTTGATCCTGGGCCTTTCAAATAAGAAATTGTTGTGTGGGTGCTATATATATTTTTTAACTTTCTCAAGCAACAGGCTAAAATGGGATAACAGAAAGCTATTCCTAGCAAAAAGTGCAATAAATCCAATGCCTTTAAAAGAAAAGAGAGACACGAGAAGAAAACATATTCCCAAACTTCCTCAAATGTTCTCACCTGTGAGTAGCTGCAAGTTGGGCAGGGGCTCTGACAAGACTCCTCGACACTGTTCCTCTACCGGTAAAGGAATAACCATGAGACCATCAGCAAGCTGAGGAAAGTCCTTAATAAAATTATTGTCCCTGAGAAAGAAAAAGAAAGACAGAAAGAAAGAAACTTTAAGTATCTAAAGGAATCTAAAGGTTATGTTTAACAGTCAAGGAAGCAGCTGAACCTCATGAAAATTGACTGCAGCTCAAAGCATCTGCAATCCTGGCATGTTCCAGTACCTTGTCCAGCTGCTTGTGTCCTATATCATTCAGCGATTGGGATTTGGGGATTTACTGTCTCGTGAGTTTCTTCCATGATAATATTTTATGTGCTTTTGGAAAAGGAGTTCTCTCCTCTCCTCCTCTATGCACAGGTAAAAATAAAGGTGTTCAGCTCATCGTTTCCTTATCTTAGATGTGATCAAAAAGTTCTGGGAATAGAGCCATAAAAATCAAAAACCCTTAAAGGATTTAAATTTGGCTTATCTCCAGTACAAGGTCATATTTTTTCTGCATGTCCAGACAGTTTCCAGTGCGGCTTTTATCTTTAGATCTCTCCTGGGAAGCCCCCACACCGGATACATTGGAGGACATCAAGCACATTTTCCAGACACACAAGTAACAGAGGACACAGTGGGACTTCCACAGAGATTTTAAAAATACCAGCTGCACTGAAAATAGTCCAAAGACGATGAGCTTAAACAGGAGGGTGGCCAAATATGAATCAGGTAAGGTTTTTGAATTTTTATGGACTTGTCCCCGTTAACTTTTTCATCACTTTTTTTGTGCACTGTACTTCATAGTGAAATTTTTAAACTATAAATGTAACAAGATAATCTTTTTGCTTCTTTTTTTTTTTAAATCTCAGTAATCTCTTTCACCCATGAGTAGAGGAAATTCCTAGAAGGCCCTGCAAACAACAACAGAATGGGTGCAAAAGCAAAATATACGTGCAAATACAACATGTGAGTGCATGACGCTTAGAGGCGCAGTAAAAGCCACAGTTGTGTCCACCACCTCGAGGGCAAAACAAAGAGCAGCAGGCGAAGGTAACAACAGACTCCATAAAAATCTTTTTCTCATTTTTGGTGAAGATGATAAGTACATGAAAAAAAATGATAATAACAACTGTCAATAGTACAGAAAGCCACTGAGGTCACAAATCATCTCATTCTCCCTGCTGTTCGACACTTTAATAACGCCAGCTGGCGTTTAAAAATACCATTTAAAATGGCATTTGGCATTTATAAACACCATTCGATGTTTTAATATCACCAGCTGCCATGTATAAACGCCATTCTTGCCATTTAATATTACCGGCTGCTGTTAATAAACGCTGTTGCAAACAGCACTGGAGGACATACAAACACCTCTGTTATCCCATCATCCTCTGTGCCAAGAGAGCAAACGTTAATAATATAATGCCAAAGCTGCTCGAAATTCGAGGCTAGCTAACATACGGTCCAAAGATGTGTCTGTCACGCTTTATCTTAAGGCCCAGACACAAAATTAATGTTTGGAATTGGTTTTTACTGGATGGCATTTTAAAATATGACATGTTTCAAATAGTTTTGGCAAAGGAGGTTTAGTGTCTTACAGCAAGTTTCCTAGGCAGGTCTCTTTCAGTACAATTTTGCGTAGAGTCTGATAAAGTAACTCTATCTAAGGTGTGACACAAATACTGAGGTTAAAAAAAAAAAAAAAACACGTAGACATAAGTACCAAAGACATGAGACAAGATGATTTCTGATTTTATGGCACTGAAACTGAAAATTCTGGCTCCAGTTCAAGTTTATGTTGACTTAATTAACTAACTTCTACTACTGCATAGTGGTTGCTAAACTTTAGAAAAGTAGAGAGCCAGCCACCCATCCAAATACCCCCATCAGAAAACCTCTTGCTTTCTGTGGGGTTTGCAGTGCAAGACTGCCTACTGGCAATATTATTATTTGAAGAGCATAAAATGTGGAACTGCAAGGAGAATTAGATGAATTATGACCTTAAACAGTGGCGTTTGTGGGTCGGAGGTTAGAAGATAAAGAACCACACACTATTCTATAGGGACAGGCAACAAAAAACATCCATAAATGCACACATTTTCAAAAACCTTTTTCCATTTTTATTGATCTGCTGATCTGCACCTCTATGATATTTTTCAATGGAAAAAAAAATACTTGGGAAAAAATATCATTAAGCCTACATGTAGAGATATAAAACAGAAAATGCTGTGATGCATTTCTTTCAGTAGCTAGGCCATTGTGGTAGAACTGGAGGAGCCTTGGTTCATTTACTGTCAAAAAGATGGGTTGTCTTACTGCATCCTGAAAGCATGGAAGGCTGCAGCAACTTATTTCCTATAATCCACTTTTATAGGACCAAATCTCAGAGCTCAGACCTTGTGTGATAGAAACCCTAGGGCTTGGCTTGACTATTCTTGATATAAATTTTTTATCTTGCTTCTCTCTTTCTGTCCTACTCCTTTCTTTGTCTAATCACAAAGCCTGTTAGATGCAATCACTGCGAAAATGGAAGGGTGGAAGGAACAACTCAAGGGCAGAAAATGAGAACAAAGAGAGACAGAAGAGGTATAAAGACTAACATAGTTTATTCTCAGAGAAAACATATCGATTGCTAAACTATATCAGTCAGTTTCATCCAGTGGCTCATGGGACCTAAGGTAAAGGTGTGTGGACCAAGATCATGTATACCTTTTTGGATTTTCAAGCCCAGATTTGCGCTGCTCACTATATCCATTCAGATGCTTCAATGTACAGATGACCAAAACAAACAAACAAAAAAAGGTGGGATCAAGACTTTTAATGGACACCTGGATGGATATAAAAAGTTAGACATTCTTAAACTTTCTTTTTCAAATTCTTTCCTTGAGGGAAAGACAAAAGGAACAGATGTCATACCAATCTCAAAGGTAGATTCTGGCATCTGCACAGGTAAGTAGGTGAGAAAGCAAATTCAGAAATGACAGAATGTCAGACTTCGATTTACCTGGTTTTAGCTTGACTGCAGTTTCTCGGACTGTGTTTATGTGTGTCTGTGTGTACGTGGCAGGAAAGAACCTTGAAACATTTATTCTGCTGACAGCTCATTACAAGAAGAGACATTTATTTGCAACGCTACAACCCAAACAAACCAGGGTGGTTAACAAGATGAGCCAGTTGCTTGTCATTCTAGAAGGATCATCTTCATCTTGCACAAATGGCTCCACTCATGGCACCACTGCTATGGCGAACTTATCTTACTTAAGACTGAAAAATTACATCTTATAAACTGACAGGCAGCTTATGCAACGAGCAACAGACCTAGCGACAAATGTGTGGATGCTAATGTGCGCGCCAGCTCACTGATGTTGCTTCCTGAGACTAAAATGAGATAAAGTCGAGATTAACGCTAATTGTTTCCTACACCTGTGCTTCTTTTTGTTGTTGCTGCGTCTGAACTTAAAATGCTTTCAGAAAAAGTCTACAGAGGACTGTAATAAAGCATCGACTATAACGGGCCTTAAACAACACAATGATTTCACTAATAAAGACTTTTTTTCACTGAGGACATTTTGACTTGCCACGCTTAGAAAAGCACAGGTGGAAATGAATGACTGCTGATTTGCATTCAGCTGCTCTGGTTCAGAAGCTTGTTACAGTGTGTACAGACTCACCTGCCACTCTGTCAGCCTGTCATGGCTAACTGGGAAATTGGAACAGAACAGAGCTATCAGTAATGCTATTTTTAACACACGTGCTGTCTGCTGCAAAGAAAAGTAATGAAAATAATAAAAATAATAAATGTTTCCTCGTCAGATTTCTAATAACATTACTGACATTCAAAATGTCAGCTACTCGGAAATAAAACACTAGACTGAATGTAGTCCATCTGATTACAAGAGCTCAGATTTCTTTTGTTTTTTTCAGTAGAGGAACTTTAGAACTCACTAAAGTGAACTTAACATTACAAAGTACTTTGACTGACGCGCAAGTAAAATCTCCATATGTAAAATATGCCTGCTTGTTCAGGATTTTTAGCCAACTAAAGTTACATGACTCACATGCAGCTTTACTACTGCAAGCAACCCACCGCACACCAGACTACATATGTGAGTACGGGCTTGCTGAGGAAATGCTGGCAAAGTTGTATATTTACTCATGTTTCATTCAATACCCATGTGTCTTCATTAAGGGCAGTGGACACTAGACTCCCTTTTGGCCAACCAGGCCTTCTATCCTGCTTGAGTCTACAAATGGAAAATGCTTCCCATTTGAATGAGAATCTCCAAATTACAAGCGTATGAAATGAGTAAATAATTAAAATATATGGTCGAATAACATCTTTTTAAGACCATATATCTATCTACGAGACACTTTACATACAGATGTCCTTATTTATTTATTAATAGTAGAATCAGTGTCAACATTTAATAGTCCAACAGGATAAGTGGCTACAGCTAATTAATAGAGGGATAGCTGTTTTTCTTTTTGTGTCTTTGAATGTTCATCTTTCACCTAATTTCAGATGGCTGTGTCTATTTGTGCTTTCCCACATATGTTTGAGTGGGTATATTTATTTTGACTTTGTGACTGTGTAACTGATATTGAGTGGTACTTACGGAGAGATTGTTCAGGATAATTGGCTCTTGTGCAGTTTAGAATAGAAACCTCATTCCCACATCTAAACACTGATCAGCAAAGTTCAACCGCATTCACTTCATCTTAACTACAATGAGATTCGCCAACAATTCATTACCTCAGATTAAAGAATCGTATCAACAAGAATATACTTTAGGTTAACGATGCTTTTTAAAGCTGCAATTATTGGGAAAATCACATCAGTCCCTTCTTGTTCATTTTTGCTTTTTATGTTGAAGCACACCAGTATTGTACATGGGAGCTTTTGGTTGAATTGGAGGCTTACTCCAATGATTTCAAGTGCCCACTTTGACACTCAGAACTCCATTCTTATAATCAGCCAACCGGCTGCCCGCCAGTCATAAACCCACCATATGCTCCCATACGGTCCTTCTAAAGATGACTCAACCTGCCTTTGAAACAGCTTCCCTAACAATGAAAGGACCTAACTGTTTCAGC